GATATATACATATCTTAATTATATATATATATATATATATATTTCATTTTTATAATATTTTCTTTTCGCACTGATTTTTCTTTCATTATGATGCATTTTGATGTTTTGAGTGCTTTTTTTATTTTAGGGAAATTATTAAAAATACAAACTGTACATAGACAAATGCACAAACACATGTTCAAACAATGTACACCCGCGAACAATCACGTTCAAATCCTTGCGTTGAGGTCCCTGTAGAAAGGTGCATGGTATAAGAAAGTTCTAATTGTTCTCACCAGTTTCAAAGGCCCCCAAGGTGCCTCCATTATAGGGACTCAATATCTCCATCGTTATCAACTGGCAGACGCTGGTGGCCTATCCAAAATATCAAGTTAGAGTAATCAGTTATCACCTTGAGTGTGATTTCTGACAGTGATCCATGGGTAGCTAAAACCATTTCTATGATCGACCATACATCAATCACTCCCTATGGTCATCTCTCTTACCCTCGGGTATAGATGGAACTTGTTGTACACAAGGGTTTGTGTACAATTTATTTTCAAATAAGTGCAAAAATTTAAACAAGCATATAGTTATTAGAGCCACACTAAAAACAAATATTTACAAACAATGGGAAAAAAGGGTAAAAATTTCATTATTTTTTATCATTGTGCTAAATTCATCACTAAATGGGTTTAACCCTCTTTTAGCTTTCCTAATGGAGTCGCCATCTATTAGAATCTAAAAATTTCTGATCTTGTCCACAGATGGTTTGACTTCCTATTTGAAAATCTCACTAATGTTTGAATGCCCAAAGACCGGACTAATGCTTCACTAATGGTTTTGAAAAGGTTCGAAGGAGTTGTCACCAATATTTTACTCAAAATATCAAAAAAAGAAAAGGTTTTCAGAAATCAATTATGACCTTTATAGCCAGAATCGGGTTCGGGGTCAGTTACGTGTGGGAAAGGTATTAGGCACTGCACAACACCCTAACTTGATACCGTACAATAAGTTTAGCATAATAATGATATAATTAAGTTTTTACCCCTTTTATTTTATTAAATATACAATAGTTTACATCATGTTAATTTACAATATGTGCATTAGTTTATTATCTACATAGTAATCATTCACTACATGCGAATAAGGTTGTAAAATAAAGAAAATAAAGAAGAGAAAGGAAGAAAGAAAGAATTAAAACCTCCGAAGTAAGCTTTTTATGTAAAAAAATATTCACAAATACGTATAAGAACGCGTTTTGGCAGTCTTTCGCTCTACAAAAATTTCACTATTACTCAGGAATTCACAAAGAGAGGGGGGAAGTCAAATTTGATAGGTGTGTGAAAGAGTGAGTCCTGTGCACATTTATATAGGCACTTAGGGAAGGGGAATGACCATTCCCAACACTGGACCGGTCGTTCCACGCCTCAAAATAACTCATAGAATGTCTTCTTGGAACGATTATTTCCAAACTAGGTTTAAGTTCATTGTTTCAATTGAGAATGGTCGTTCCAAGGTTGAGAAAATGACCATTTCGCGTCGCAATTAGGGTTTTACATGTTGTAGCATCCTTTGGGCCTCTATTAAGGGTTGCTCTTCTCTTTCCCAAGATCTCTCAACCTTAATAGGGATGACCAAACAAAAACCGATGTCTATAATATTTACTCATCCTACATGAAAGTATTTTACATATGCCTATAGGGCTGAGTCCATTTTTTCATCCTAAATATTTATTTATTATGAATTTTATTTATAATATAATTTATACATTAAAAAAATTTATTTTATAAATTTTTATCATATAAAATAAATATTTATACTGCAGATTAGGCAAATATAAAAACTATAAATTGCCTTATTATTATAGAACAAATAAAAGCAGCAGTGCATAAGCAAGAGAGAACCTCTTAAAAGAAAAAAAAAACACGGTAGACTATAGGAAAACATGTTAAATCATCCAGATTCCATGTGTGGTATGATTCTAGATTGGCAAACACTAAATTGACAAGATTATTTCAAAGTATGAGCACCATTATTGAAGTTATAAACCACATCAATACCCAACATCCAGCAGTACAAAAGAGACTTAACATATACAATGCACTATCTATCCAGTGGCAAGCGTCAACCAGGTCATAGTAAACTTGTTCTCAGGGTTACCATAGCATAAAAGAAGTGGCCTCCAGTAGCAAGGCCAAAAGGGTTGTAACAAGCACTTCGATATGAAAAATGCTTGAAAAAAAAAGGCTGAAGAAAGGATCTGCCATAGTTCCCTGGAAAACAACCATGTCAACAAACTGTCGCCCAATCCACCCTTGATAGGTAGGTACATCTGCCCAAAAAGCATGCCGAATGTCACCACCTGTGAGTTCATTATACAACTTGATACATGTACCATCTATGATGTATTTTCAGATCCGGTTTAATCACTTCAATTGTGTCTCCGTCCCTGATATAGCAATCAAAATGGTTAAGATATTAAGCCAGAATATCACATCTCCACAAGTTCTCCACTAGCAACTCCACTGTGATGCACCCAATTGAATTGCAATTTTGAAGATTCAACCCTACCAAGGTCTGGCCCAACTTTGTTAGGGAAGGTGCACTCTTGTTTGTTACACCAGAACAGTTTGACAAAGAAAGCACTTGCAAAGTAAGCTGCCTGGCACTTGAAAGAACAGCTACTCCGGCATCAGTGATTGCACACTTTGACACATCCAAATCGTTAAGAAGAAGGCAGTTATCTGCAATAGCAACCAAGCTTGCATCGGTAATTTTCCGGCATCCATCAAGATTCAGCATTTCAAGGGTTCGACCATGTAGCCTGGCTAATTCTGAAACTATGTTATCTGTCAAATTCCAGCAGCCAGCAAGGTTCACCTTGACAAGTCCGGCCTCTGAATTCTCCAAAAGAGGAAGAAGACCAGCATCAGTTACACCATAAAGTCCAGTCAGATCAACATGCTGAAGTTGAGGACACAATTTCCCAACCATAGCTAGGCTAGAATTTCCAATACCAGGGCAGTTATGAATGGATAAATGTCTGAGAGAGTCACAAGGAGAAAGCATAGATACTTCCACATCTATATCTTTAATTCCCTTGCATCTCAGAAGGGTGAGAGACTTTAGTGTTGTTTTGAAGCTTGAAAGGGCACCAATAATTCCAAACTGGGTGATGCTGTTACACTCCTCCAACTGCAAGCTCTCAAGAGATCTTGCAGCTTTGCTAAATGCGACCAACCCATTGTCGGATACAAAGCAACACCTCCGAAGAAACATCTGCTTCAGGTTAATGCAACCTTTACCCATGGCTTCAATGCTTGCATCTGTTACCCCTCGGCATGAAGTAACCGTAAGTGACATAAGTTTATGCAGACCTTGAGCAACACCCATGACCCAAAACCCCCTTTCACTGACATTTTGAAGACCGCAGAGGACCAAATTTACAATTGCCTTTCCATAGTGGCCAATGACAGCCAGAGAGAAATCTGTAATGTTTAAATCATGAAGCTTTACCCTTGAAAGGTTATTAGCTGATGATAATAGACTTGATACTCCATGGTCCCCAACAAGAGGGCAATCCTTGATAGAGATGCACTGTAACTTGGGGCAAGACCTCGCAATAGCTTGCAACCCCTCGTTTCCAATCTTCGGACATGATTCAATATTTAAGGTGGTCAAATTGGGGCAGCCCTTAGCTATTGCAATTAGGCTTTTGTTGCTAATAGAAGAAGCCTGGCATATGTCAAGCTTCTCCAACATATGGCATCCTTTTGCTATCTCAGACAGACCCTGATCCCCAATAGAAGACACATTCCACAGAGATAATGATCTAAGAGAGGGGCAACCATGCGCAACTGCAGAGAGGCCTGCGTCTGTGACGCCGCGAACAGAATTGGTTCCTCTGATAGACAGCTTCCCCAGTCCCCCACGGGCACTAGTCCCAACTGCAATTGCAGCAAGCCTTACATCAGTTGCCTTTTTCCCTTCCAAACACCGCGTTAAGCATCCATCATCTTCAACATGATCCTCATCCACCGAGGCCATTTCCACATCACAGGAAGTTGACCCCTCCACCACCTTATCAGATTTGTAAATCTCAGCTTTACACATACTGCTAGTAAGCATAAGCCACTGCTTCGATACACAAGCACAAGAACTCCTCTCTTTGCCACTACCGACCCTTCTCAAAATCTCAAAAAGGCACTCATCAGGAAGGACATCAATTGCAGGCTTTTGATCTTGCTCGCGCCCACCAACTTCAATGATATCTGAGGCACTGGTGCGAGCACGCTTATTAGGTGTGTAGTACACACTTGAACCAATATTACACAGGCGACCCAATTCAATGGGATTTGCACAAAAGGAACCCCCAGTATAGAGCTCATCATAACCTGAAAAACCCATTCACAAATGTAACTCATCCATTCAAAATTGTTCTAAACTAAACCAAAACTGAAACAAAAAAACATTATTCATCTCACAAGCACAACATGTAAGCCTTCAGCAGAACATGTTTGCAAACATATTTTCCATCAAAAAAAAAAAAAAAAGCAGAAAACTAAACCTAATCTTAATAACAAACAAAATATAGACCTCTTATTACAACAACCTCCAGGAGTTTCCACGTATATATACACACACATGAAACTAATAACCTAATTCTAATTCTGATCCAAACACCCCATGATCCAAAACCAAAAAAAAAACATTATTTATTTCACATGTTCAACACTTAAGCCTTTCAGCAGTGATCATTACAAATCTCCCAACACTTACCACTATAATTGACAAGGGTAGGCATGATGGGTATGGAAGGCGAGTCCACAGGCGCAACAATAGGAACGGGTGCAGCTGATCAAAACCCCCAGACTCAGAAAGAGCAAAAGAAAGAAAAACAAAGGGCAAGAAGTGAAGGGTCAAGAGCATTTGAGAGCAGAAACCCCACAGAAGAGGGCAAAAAGAATGAAATGAACAAGTTTTGGGAATGATGTTTGGGTGTGAGGAGGGGATATATGTGTGGTGAAGAAAGTTTTATATTGGAAAAAGAAGGAAGATAGGTGTAGTCCACAGTGTATAATATAAAGAAGGTGCAATGAAGTTTTATATTGCTACAAATTGCTCAAGTGCAATGAATCATTCCTCGAACCGGGACGTTCCCGCTACATACACTCTCTTTCAGACTGGTCCAACCCAATCCAACCAACCGACCTGCCAAGTGTCATACCAATTGAATACCAACCCAAATACTAGGCACGTGTTTTCTAGACTCTTCATTCTCTCTTTTTTTAGCTTTCATTTTTCTATTACCTCTTTTATTTATTTATTCATTTATTTTGTTAAATTTTAGCTTTATTTTAGATCATTACAACGGTGTTTCATATAGTGATATAGTTGATTAAATCATTTTTTTTAATTAGTTAAAATTTGATATAAAATTCATATATTTTTTATTTTATATTCTTTTATGCAGATTTGTGTTGGAGACGAGTAAATGATTCTTAATTTCACTATAAATCCTTAAAAAAGTTAGTAATTGATTTTGACATTACATGAAGATGTATCTCGTCTAATCTTAACTTATATTTGTAATGAGAAAAATTATTACAACAATGAGATTGTTGTTTCATTATGCAACTTTTTATTTTTGTTCTGTTATAAAATTTAGGATAGTCTTATCCAAAGCATAAAAGTGAGTATTCAGTAAAAATCTGTCCTTCTCGTCTTAGTCTTAGCATTATATATTGGTATGATTATATCTTCTATTTTTGATAATCTGAATATTACTTTTATCTTTGAGCTTTGTTTATCTGTATGTTGTCTAGATCCACTCATTTCAAAAATGATTACTATTAGAATGATATTTTTAAATGATGCATATCTCTTTACCATTAAATGGGCCAAGGTTAAATGCTCCCGTAAATGGTATATCAACTATGGACCAATCTACATTGGAATGATAGACTTTAGAATGCTTGATGATGGGCCTAGTATGGTCCACAGTTCTCCAGCCTTAAGTGTAATATGGGTAAAGGCTAAATAGGGTTGAGATGGTTAGCCTAAGAATGCTTGGCAATGAGCCTAAGTTGCTCTAATTTTAAATTTATAATTTACCCTTATATGTTAAACACAAAAAATCATCTCACCCCATAGTGTTTTAAAAGGTTTCTTTTTAGCAAAAACATTAGAGATTTTTTCTCAACAAGAAAGTTAACAATGGATATCAAGACATTTGCATGTGTAGGTTTTTTGCTAAATATTATGTCAAAAGATTATCTTTGATCCCTCAAGTTTTGGAATTTTAATGTTAACAAACGAAACATATTTACAAAAGAAAATGTCCTCGAAAATGTTTATCAGACGAAGCATAAGATGTAGATTATTTGTGAGACGATGTGAATCAGACAAAGCATATAATCGGTCTCATATTCATTGAATATTCATTATTTATTGAGACTAATGACAAAACTCATTTAAATGCTTTATTCCTTAATGAATCAAACTAGAAATCATCTTGAAACTCACAAATTTGTTAAAGAGAACAAGATCATGATTTTCGTCAAGATCAAGGATGAAGATCCCTGAAATCATAGAGAAAAATAGATAAAGTCATTGTTGTTGCTACTTTATGCTGACATTGCTTCTATAAGCTCCATTTGGTATCGAAAGATGATAAGTAGCTTTCTTGATCAAATAAAAGATACCATTTGATGAAATACATTTAGTTCTTACATTAAATGAGTTAATGGTTACCTCCCATCACAAGGAAAGACATTAAAGATAGACGAAACAAACTTGTGAATTGGATTCAAAGTGTTACAATGGTCATCTTCTCCAAGGCTACTATATAAGAAGATTTGAAGCTCAAAAAAGAAAAGAAGAGACTTGTACAGAAACATACACAAATAAACATACTTTGTAAATCATACTTGTGTATAAACTTCATTCTTTCTTGTAAAAAGTTTAGTGCTCTTTATTGGTTTTGTAATGTTTAAGTGAGACGAACACAACATCCTTGTAACCTTCATAACCATTAGTATAAGATAGAGCCTAGAGAGGCTTATTTGTAAAACAATAGTTGGTTGTTAAGCTTGGAGAGGCTTGGTTGAAAAGAATACTTGGTTGTTAAGCTTAAAGAGGCATGGTTGAAAAAAATACTTGTTTGTTAAGCTTGGAGAGGCTTGGTTGAAAAAAATACTTGGTTGCTAAGCCTAAAGAGACTTGTTATGAAAAAAATAATTGGATAGTTATTCATAGTTAAAAATATTCATAGTTATTCATAGTTAAAAATAATTTATATTAAAATATTCATAGTTAAAACATTTAAAATATAATTTATATTAAAATATAAATTATTTATCAAAAAATTTAAAATATAATTTGTTTTAAAAGTGTAACCTAAAAGAGAGTATCCTCTTTATTATAGTTATAAATAAATTTTAGTTATATAAAATAAATATTTTTATTGTACATTATATAAATTAAAATATTAATTAAGAACATTTTTATAGCATGGTTTAAATGGTTCATTATAAAATTTTAAATATATTTTACTTATTTAATAATTTTATTCATTATAAAAGTTAATCATAATATAATTTATGCATTTTAAAATATTTATTTATTATAAAATTTAATTATATAAAAATATTTATCCTGTATTTCACAAATTAAAATATCAAAACACTCATTCAAGATTTGCTATATACTACAGCCTTTGCAAAGTCTGTAACGATGAATTCAAGTTTGTCATTTGTGTTTGGTAAAAAAAAAAAAAAAATCCTTCATCTGTAAATCGAATTCATTATCAGCTTTGAACTTTATTGATAAAGATGTGCAGAAATTTCACCCCCATAAATCATTATTCGATCCAATTCGAGTGTTCAAAGAATTGCAATGCACATTGCAATTTTGTCGCACATTATGTGAAATAAATTCATGAGCTGATTAGTTAGTTAAATATATATGTCGCAAATCTTGAAGACATTTTATTGATTTTGAATGAGTGCCTCTCTCATTTAACATTTCCTTATTAGTCGATAAAATGAGAGTAACTTATATTCGCTCTTAATTTTTTTATTTCTTTTAGTTACTTATTTCATATTAGTATTTTGCAAAGAGAGTAACAAACTCATAAAAGTGAAAAATATCTCAATTGCTTATTTGATCAACCCGATTAAAAAGATTACATGGACCTAGCTATATATATTAAGTTAAGAAACAGAAAAGAAGTCTAACAACCCCTAACAGAATGTGGCAGCTACTAACAAACAATATAGAAAATCTATTTCTAATATCCCCTCTCAAGGTGGGTTGTGGATGTCAATTAAACCCAACTTGGACACATTTTCTTGAAATGGTGTTGGATACAAAGACTTGGTAAACACGTCGGCAAGTTGATATTTGGAAATGTAGACACCCAATTTCGTCCGGGGCATAAAAACAAGGAAATAGACATCTGTTATGAAGGGAATGAGCTCCCAAAGCATGCAAACAACAGGACAGGACATCAGAAGACCTAAAGCCCAAATAAATTGGTTTTAGTGGCCCGGAACGGGCTGTTCCAAAATCAGAACGAGCCGTTCCAAGCTACAAAAAAGGCTTAAAAACCTAGTCTGGAACGGGCCGTTCCAAAACCAGAACGAGCCGTTCCAAACTGTTAAAAAGGCCTAAAAACCTAGTTTGGAACGAGCCGTTCTAGCAATGCATTTTTTGTGTTAATCTCAACCCTAGAACAGGCCGTTCTAGTTTCAGAACAGGTCGTTCCAGGGTAAGAACTTAACACATAACGTTCAGATCCAGAACGGGTCGTTCCAAATTTGGAACGGACCGTTCTGGCACCCTTCTAATGCCTATAAATAGACCGCTTGGGCACAGTTCTTAGGGGCACAAAAATTTTGTCTAAGACTCTTTAGAGCTCGAAATTTCTCTTTCTCCCTCCTATTATATTTCTTGATATTTATGAGGCATATTCTAGTGTGAAAAGTTGCCATAAAGCTCCTTCTCCATATTTGAAGATTCAATAGAACTCGTTCAAGAGGTATTTCAATCAATCTTCTTCTATATCTTTTATTTCTCATCTTTATCTCTATCTTTTATTTATAACAAACACAATCATGTAGATATTTTAGGGTTAGTTGTATAATTTAAATTTTAAATATTTGAATAAATATTAATAAAAGGGATTCAATATTTAATTATTAATTCTTATTATGTTATCTTCATCATAGGGTACCGATTTAGGGCGTTGTAGGGGTGTTTCATACCTTCACTACACGTAACCGACCCCCGAACCCAATGCTGGTTATCAAGGCCATTATTGGACTTTTAAAAACCTTTTCTTTTTCCAATATTTTGAGTAAAACATTGGTGGCGACTCCATGAACCTATTTTCAAAACCATTAATTAAGGATTAGTCTGGTATCCGGGCATTCCTTAATTGATGACATTTTTAAAAGGATGTATAAACCATACGTCGCGAGATCGGAAATTTTTTGGTTGCGACAGGAAGGAACATGAGAAAGAACAATGAGACCCTCAAGAATTTTTGCACGTATAAGATGACAGTCCACCTCAATGTCCTTGGTTCTTTCATGAAAGGAGGGATTTTTAGCCAATTGTATAGCAACTTCATTGTCACAAAATGTAGGAAAAGGAAGAGGAATGTCAAGACATAAGTCATCAGCAATATATTTGAGCCATTGTAGTTCACAAGCAACTGAGGCAAGAGCCCTGTATTCTACCTCTGTAGAGCTTCAAGAAACGGTGTTTTGTTTCTTAAATTTCCATGAAATCAAGCAATTACTGTAAAAAATACAGTATCTTGTAATTAATTTTCGAGTGATGCAGCATGTAGCCTAATCTGAATCAGTGCAGGCTTGAATTCTATGAGGATTATGAATAGGATAAAAGAGTCCTTTACCAGGTGCATTTTTCAAGTATTTAAGAATTCAAAAAGCAACTTGTAGGTGTGAATATCTAGGCTTGGACATAAATTGGCTAATCTGTTGCACAACAAAACTGATATCTGGCCTAGTATTGGTTAGGTACGAGTTTTCCAATTAATCTTCTAAAAGCAATAGGGTTAGTAACAAGGTCAACTTCATCTTCAT